TGAGCAGCGCTTGCAGGATGTTAAGTTCATAGTTCCCTTTGTATGTCCCATGCCCCTTTCTGGTTAGTGATCTTGCCACGTGGGTTATTGCGTGATTTTCTGTTGAACTGACATCAGGTTTCTTGCCAGTTTTTGCAAATATAGATCATTCTTGTTCAGCTTGGGGTATGAGCTGCATTAAGAAGTTACTGTTTCAAAAGAGATACACTAGAAAAACTTTAAGTAGGTGCTGAGAATAGGTTTCGCGATCAATTTGACTACCAGTGCACGAGTACAATTCCGTAGTTGTTTCAGTGCAAGGTCTGCACGTGAGAGTTGCGTAGGCACAGTGTCAGTTAACTATTTGTTAAACAGCTTGTGCATTTGTGAACTTGTGTGAATCCTCTGCCCAGGCACTATGAATTATCTTATGGGAGCAATGATGTTCTTTACATGGGTGGGTGCACCGCAGGGAATTGCCGGTCTTTTAAGAAGTTATGTTGCTTTGAGGTGTTATAATTTCACCCCAGATTTGTGAATGAGATCTGAAGGGAGCTTCTTAGCTGCATAACAAAGTAGAAAGTATTGTACAAATTCTCTAGCTTCATCCTTTGCTGTACTTGCACAGGCTTAATTACAGATCATTATACCTTTTGGAAGTGGAAAGAGTTACTTTCAGTCGTAACATCTTACCATATAATGATTTCTCCCTGAATATACAACTGTGGTATTAGGTTTCTGGCTTCGGATAACAATTTTGTGGCCCATAATTTGTGAAGGATGACTTTGAATATTTACCTCAGCTTTTCGTACTGTATTTTAGCAGTCTGAGTATCACTTGAAATGTATTCAAAACTTTACAAATTATTATTCTTTCTCTAAGCTCTACTCCTGAGCTATTGCTTGGATCAGAGTGAGAAAGGACAACAACTCAGTGATCACTAAGAATGAATGGGAGATTTTTTTTTTCTGAAGAGAAAACACTGGAAATACCTGGTTTTAACTTCTAACTATTTGTTAGTCCCATAATAGGAGCTTTTAACTGTAGCACCTGTTTTAGAACATAAATCTAGCCATATGGCTGTGCATCTTTGTCTGCAAGTAGGAATCTCTGCTTCTTTTAGACTAAAAGTGGTGTTCCCTTTTCCAAAATTAGAAGATAGAGGACAGGTCTGGTGAGGAAGAGTGGACAATACAACCAGTGCTTGCCAGGCATGTAATAAATGCAGTTGCAGATACATGGACATCAAGAAATGATAGCTGCCTGTAAAAGATTAATGAAACAGTCTGTAATGCATCTCTACCTTAAGTTAGCTATTTGCTGTGAGCATTCTGGAACTTAGGAGCTGGAAGGTTAGGTGTGAAAGAAGTTGACTTATGAAAAAAAAAAAAAAAAAAAGATAGCCCTCCAAACCAAAGGAACTACATCCCAAACTCTATGGTAGCATTATGTGTATATGTGAAATCATTGTAAAACAAACAAGCAAAAAACCTTCAACAACTGCTGCTTGATGGTTGTGTGTTAAACATAACTTGTTGCCAGACTATATAAAATATCGAAGATTAACAACCTCTGATGTCAAGGAGACTGTCCTGAGCAAACTTCTCAGATGCATACACATGCATGCACGTTCTCACTCTGCTCTAATACACGCTTCCAGAAAGAAAAAAAAGTTTTTTTTAAGCTGGCAGTTTTCACGTAGCCTAGTGTCTGGCTACTCTGTCTGAAATACTCTGTCTTGGAAATGTTCACGTTTTCAACTGCTGCGCTGGCATTTCTGTTGAAAGTAGTACTAATTCGGCAAAATGGTCACATGAAGGAAGCCTAAGTGAGTGCAGTGACCACTAACTGAAGGCACTCGTCTTAGGGTAGTTCCCAACCTCTGCTTTAGGTTGCCTGCCACTTTCTTCTTCCTTTATTAGATTGCCTTCAGAGAAAGAAACGCTGTCATAGAGTTTTCTGGCATCCTACATGCTAATACAGCCTCAAGCTTTTGGCATTGCTGAAATACACCCCATTACAGAACTAGCTATCTCTAAATAAGACCTAGCTGAAATTTGGGTTCTGTATCTGGATGGTATTTATTCAGTTCTAGATGTTTGTTGTTAAGCTGCTGATTTCATAATGGCATGTCTGAGATAATAGCTATTGAAGACAAGAGTGTTAACCAGTTTGGCTGTTGTAGATAAAGATCATGCAAGCACATGTGGACACTTATTAGTGGCAAAACTACATTCCTG